GAAAAAAGCCAGAACATGATGGAACCTAAATTAGCCAAAGCCTAATTTAAAACTGCAATGTGGTGAGCTTCCATCGTGGCCTACTTTTTCAAAAGAAAAGTGCACTAAGTGATTCATTTTGCATGTGTGTGTCTACTTTGCTTGCCCATCTCTGTTAATGTGTTGTGCACAGCTGTGTATCCATGGTTGTCTCGATCCTAAAAGGGGCTAGTATTGCCTTCATCCAGTAGTATTTGCAGATTGTTTTGCGTTTGTCACTTTCCACCCATGTCATTTCATTTCACACAACAGTTCTAAAAGTCAGTTTGAAAAGATAATGGAGCGTCCGTTGTGTAAATTTCAAATTCTATGACATGAACAGATTTTTACTAGTGAAATAACGATATGTACTACCCTGGTAGATATTACAAGATCACAATATTGCAAAATTACACATATCATTATGTCCCTACAGGGTCGGTGTCAGTTGATCTGAATGTTGTTGAGGAAGCTTTTTCACTGTTTTGAAATAATTAATAAAGGCTTACAGGTACCACAAACACAGGATTGTTGCAAATTGTGAGGTCATGTGTATTCTAAAGAGGTTTCTGTTCACACAGTCCACTTATGCTTATAATTTTAAGTGTGTGTGTGTGTGTGTGTGTGTGTGTGTGTGTGATCAGTACCATAGCAAGGATACAGTTCCGCCTCCCAGATGGCTCATCCTTCACCAACCAGTTCCCCTCACAGAGCAGACTGCAAGAGGCTTGGGATTTTGCTGTTCAGGTCTGTCTCATCAATCTATTAATATATAAACATGGCTGGGTTGGTTGGGAATTTCAAGATGGCGCCGTTGTATTTGGCCTGCCGTCTGTTCCTCCTAGGTATTTGTTATTTTGCTATGTTGGAAGTTTCCTCCGCTGTCCCTACTCTGGTGTATGATTGCCACACTTTGTTAGAAATACGCAATTTGATGTTTAGCTGCTCAAATGCTGTTGGAATCGGCAATCAAAGTCACTACCTCCTTGGCTAACATCCATACCGCCCTGTCTTCGACACCTTCACTACTCTCTACCTGCTAGACCATGTCGTAGACGATGTATGTTACACAGAAGGAATTTGTTTCTGGTACAGAACCAATGGCAGCCATCTGTGGTGCCACCTCAACCAATGGCTCTAGCCATTGGGGGCAACGGGGGGCGTTCAGGGCAAGACACTGGACTGCAGGCACCGAGATTCAAACCTTCAACCTTCTGGTTGGGAGACAACTGCTCTACCCACCGCACCACGGTCGCCTCTGCCTCCCGAGGGATACTCGGGTGCATGGCTACCCTGACGCAAGCTGGTCTGTTGTTCTCAATTACCGCTTCCTTCGTCCCGTTGGCCCTGCTGGAAATGTTCTACCTGACGCTGTCTCCATGCCAATCTTCGTCCAGTGATCTGCACTGTTGGCCTTCAGGTGCAGCCTAGCCCACTCCAGGTTGCTTTGTTCAATGCTAGATCTTTCAACAAAACCTTCATCTTAAACGATCGTATTTCATCTCTTGATTTGGATATGTTTTTAATCACTGAAACCTGGTTAAAGCGTGGCAGTAATACTCCTTTGTCTGAGCTTTTACTGGCTGACTATTTATTTTTTAAGTCCCCATGCCTCTCTGGTAGAGGTGGCGGCCTGGCGTCAGTTTTTAAGCCAATTTTAAAATATTGTTGTTTGCCCTCCAAGTCTTTCTCCAGCTTCGAGCTTCAAACTTTTGTTTTAACTCTACACTGTCCTATTTTATGTGCAGTCATTTATCGTCCTCCCAAATCAAAGGAGTTTTTGCAGGAATTTGGGGGATTTTTGGCAGCTTTTATTTCACAGGCTGACTGTATGTTGATTTGCGGGGATTTTAATATTCATGTTAATTCCTTGTCCGACCAGCACTCAAATGACTTTAATGCTCTGCTGGATTCTTTTGACCTCAATCAGTTTATATGTCCCACTCATAAACAAGGTGGCACATTAAACCTCGTCATCTCTCGAGGTCTGTCTGTTTGTATAAAGGATGTGTCAAATATATATCACTTTTTTTATTCACTTCGAGGTCTTGTTATCGACAAGGCGGCCCAGACCTGTGGCCCCCCTTCAATACCGTAGGATTATTACCCCTTCTACCCCTGCAGATTTTGCTGCTGCATTTTCAGCCTCGGAGTTCCAGTCTACAGGAGATCAGGACCCCACGGTTTGTCCGGAGGCATTCCTTGCTTCTCTAAACTCTACCTGTGCCCGGATCATGGACTCTGTTGCCCCCTTTAGGACGAGAAGGGCTGGAAATATCACTGTTCCATGGCAAACTGACACCACCCGGGCCTTACGGAGGAGCTGCAGACGAGCCGAACGAAAATGGAAGAAAGATGGCTTGCTCACCTTGTTACACATTCTTAGAAGCAGCCTCCGTGCCTATCAGGAGGCTGCAAAAAAGGCTAAGACCCAATATTTGGCTAAGAATATAGCAAATAACAGCCGAAACCCAAGAATTTTGTTTAAAATGATACACTGTCATAAACCCAGTCGGGGCCTTGCCCATGGACGGCTCCGTTGTTCTCTGCAATCAGTTTCAGAACTACTTCAGTGATAAGATTGGGGCCCTTAGGCAAAGCACTCCTGGGCCGCTACCTTATACACTGCCAGTATCACAGTCCTCACACATTTTTGACTCCTTTTCTTCGATCTCTTTGATGCAACTAAAGGAATGTATGAGTCATTTAAATCCTGTTTTGTTGCCTCTGGACCCGCTCCTGCTAGAATTACCAAGCAGGTCTTTGATATTCTCGGCCCCTCCTTGGTTACTTTTACTGTATTAATCTCTGCCTTGGTGTGGGTACGGTCCCGACTGCACTTAAACACGTAATAGTCCGACCACTTCTTAAAAAACCTAATCTTGATCCGTTGCTGCTGTAATCTTTTCCTCCCATTTCCCTTCTTCCTTTTTTTGTCAAAAATACTGGAAAAAAATTTTCACCCAGTTTCAGTCGCACTTGGATCTGTTGGACATCGTCAAGTTTCACTCAGGCTTCAGGCCCTGCCATAGTACAGAGTCAGCGCTACTCAAGATCCATAATGATATTACCACTGCTCTCAACGCTAAATGTCCTGTTCTTTTAGTTCTTTTAGATTTATCGGCAGCGTTTGATACAGTTGACCATGAGATTTAACCTTGAACATTTCGTTGGACTGAAAGGTACGGTTTTAAACTGGTTTACTTCCTTCCTAACTGACAGAACCTTTTCTGATGACTACGTTTCTAATACAGCACCGCTCACCTCAGGCATTCCTCAAGGTTCAATCTTGGCCCCTTTACTCTTTTTATATATTGCACCTCTGGCGACAATTATAACTAGACATGATGTTCAATTCCTTTTTTACACAGATGACATTCAGATCTACATGTCACTGCTTTTGTCGGACCCAAACGCACTTACCCCGTTGGATAATTGCGTCCAGGAAATTAAGCAGTGGCTTGCTCAAAATTTTCTTTATCTGAACGAAAGTAAAACTGAATATATTATCAGTCGTGACCCAAATGCAGATGCAGCCAGTTTTGGTGCCTCTACCCTCCCACTTTCCGATTCAGTGAAAAACCTCAGAATAATACTGGACTGTAATTTTAACTTTGAGAAGCAGATTAGGGCCGTAGTTAAGACTTGTTTCTTTCATTTAAGATTTCTAAGAAGGTGAAACCTTTTTTATCACATGCAGACTTGGAGATAGCCATCCATGCTTTTATCACTTCGCGTCTAGATTATTGTAATGCCCTTTATGCGGGGGTGTTTGCTCCAGAAATTGCAATTAGTTCAAAATTCAGCAGCCCGGCCTCTAGTCAGTACACCCAGGTTTGCCCACATTACCCCGATTCTCCGCTCCCTTCATTGGCTTCCCATAGAGTTAAATTTAAGACTCTAGTATTCGTTTTTAATACCATCTACGGCCTAGCTCCGCCTTATTTGTCTGACATGCTATCAGTTTTCGTGCCACGAAGAGCGCTCTTCAAAACATTTGTCTTTGGTTGTCCCACGATCGTGGTATAAAAAATGGGGTGAACGATCCTTTGCTACATATGGCCCCAGACTCTGGAATTTCCTTCCCTTAGAGGTGCGATCGAAGTCGGAACTAGTGGTTTTTAAGTCGGCCTTAAAAACTTTTTTTCTTTAGTTTTTCTTTTGTTGTTTTTATGTTTGCAGTCTTATTTTGATTTAGTGATTATACTTGTTTGTAGTTTTGTTCTGTTGTACAGTTGAGTGCCATAGAAATAAAGTTTATTATTATTAAAGTCAGTTTGATTTTTCGAGTTTGACTTCCCAGTGACAACCATATGTTTGAATAACATTATAGTAGATTAAAGAGTAGCATATGCAGAACTGTCAAACCTTTCATGTAGAGTCACTTGTGAAGTGTTTTGTGCTGGTCTTTTGTCAGGAAGTGGGAAACCGCTACAGTAACTTCTCCCTGGCAACTATGTTCCCTCGGTGGGAGTTCACCAGCGAAGACCTGAGCAAGACTCTGCTGGAGTTGGGACTGGCTCCAAGTGCTTCCATTGTACTCCTGCCAGTGAGTAGACCTTCCATGTGTTTCGATTTACTTTGTCTACAAACATGTGGCATAGGAGATAATCAGTCAATCAATGAATGCTTTTAAAGACTTCCAGATTGAACATAATGACATACCTGGAGTGGAATTGGTCTCCAAAAACACGGTAATCTTCTTGGAGAGACAGTGAATATATTTGCCATTGGACAACAAAGGGGATTTACTTGCCAGGGGGGTGTTCTTTGTACGTTGCTAAACAGATCCAAGATCAAATGAGTAATCCTGGATTCTGCATTAGCAAAGCTTATCGAAATACTTTGGTTCCTCATCCCCCACCTGTTTTTGATTACATAGTCTGTATTCTAAGATATGTGCACGCTCTTGTGGTCAGTGACTACACTATGTTTCTGTTAGGCTTCTTGCCAGAGACATATCAGTAAATTGGCGAACACTGGAAATGGCCGGTTTTCAGAATGATGTGCCTTGACCAGTAAACCGCTCTGAGATATCTGATTCTGTGCCAGTCAGATTTAATAATGACGGTCCACATTGCACATGCAGTGCCACAGACCAAAAGCATAGCGTGTGCAGTATGTACCGTATCACATGCACCTCGAGCGAGGCTCGTGCCTATACTGGGCATATGTTTACTTGTGATCGGAAGTGCTTGGTGTACAAAAAGCACTCAGAGGAGCCTGCAGAAATACAGGGCTGACAGTTCTCCTGCACTGTGCCAAATTTCTGGTGCAGGGACATTTTTTTTGAAAATATTCTCCTGAATTTTTTTTAAAGTTGTGTAAGAATATGCCTGTGGCTATATATGTACAGATGTAGGCACCCAAAGTGTCACTCTCTGCTGTGATAAGTGGCCACTTTCACCGTGACCCTCATTTGTCCCACAGCATGACATGCGTTACAGTATGTCTGTAGGTGGCACTCAGCCTACACTCAAAGGTACAGTACCGCATGCACACACAAACCATAGCCCATAGGCTGCTGTATGAATGCCTACTTAGAAGTAAAGAAGAAGCCCTGTGGTCGTGCTCTCTTGCACAGCTGTTGGAAGCTGAACAGCTGAATGGCAAAATCCTTTCCACAGGGTTGCAAGTTTGTGCTTTAGAATGCAATCAATCAAACAATATGAAAACAAGGTTTAATTTTTTTTATTCACTGCTTTATTCTGATGGTGACAACAGTGTGCAGACTGTGCAGCGGTTTCACCAACTTAACCTGCTGTTAACACCTGTAACCTGCTCACACTGACAAAACAATTGTAAAACACATTAAATTCCTACATTTTTAGAAAGTGAGTGAATTGTGGTTCAGATCATAGAATTATAGATGTTGATGCAGATTTATTTTGGAATCTTGGATCACATTCTGTTTTAATTAGTGCACCAGTTATTTTCTGGAACATTTGTTTGTTTTTTAATTGGATTTTGTTAAGTAGCCTACCTACTGACTTTCAAGGCCTGTGCATAGTATTAATCATGACAGTAGTTAGCGTATGAGCATGCAGTCCCCCTGTTGACTCTGGTAAGTCACTAATCTTGTGATTTACGTCCACCAGCCTTTTGACTGAGAGCTCATATCTGCTTCCCAGTCTTCTTACCGTTTAGTGCAGAGCTGAATCAGGATAGGGTTGGCTTAGTTTAGCATAAGGAAGCGAGGGTAGAAAGCTGCTGGTCTAGCTCTTAACAAATACATTGATGTGCCTAACTTTTAAACATGTCTCTTGTATCCTAAAAACCCTTAAAGATGAATCCGACCGAGTCAGCTGTGTATTCGTTATGTGTATGCTCTTCCTCACAGCAGTCAGGCAGGCCTACCAGCACAGTGGTCCGGTCCTCTGGAGGTGGGTTCTGGGCCATTCTGGGCACGCTCGTCTACCCTCTGCTGGCTGTTTGGAGGTTCCTGAACTCCTTCCTGTTTGCAGCCTCACCTCCTCCTGGAGCTGCACCCCAAGGCCCCGCCCAGCAGTCCAGCTTATATCCCAACTCATCATCGGCCTCGGAAGAGGCAAAAAGGTAAGGGGACAGTCACTGCGCCACCCCAGCAGCATCTATACTTTTCATCAACTACTGTTGATCCAAGGAGGGGCTGAAAAGATTCACCCATATATAATTGGAATGAAAACCAGGTGAATCTATGAATGTCGATATGGTTTTTGTTATTCAGATGGATGGTGGGCCATGTATCTAGATATATACAGTATCAAAACATGGAGGTGGAGAATGACTGAACTCTCATGCTCTAGATAACATTTAAAGGTCAAAGTGCACCTTTGGTGGTAGAGAAGGTTTGTGGGATTTGAAAGGTTAAATCTGGTGGATTCTCTATTTTGTTTTTTGATATTTTAAAAACATCATATACAGAGACCAAAACCGATACTGAATTTCATGTACTCTCCATAATCTCTCTCAAACTAAAAGCTACTGATAAAAAAAACCTCAGTGAGCCAAACCAGCGCCTCTTGAGGCTAAGAACGGCCATCACTTTACACACTCTGAAATAAGAAAGAGGTCTGAGGCCTACGGCAGAGATGAATGAGTTTAGCCAGGTTCTTGATTCAGAGCAGGAGTCACATGGATCTCACAGACGAGTCATTTGCACTTTTTTAGGTTCTGGTAAACGGAAACCCACTGACATTGTTGAATTCTGCACACAGCATGTTTCCCCTGTGTGTGTAGTGAGCAGTACTATTACATTTTAGAAAACCCAATAACACACTAATTCTCCTTCAAATAATGGGCAATAAAACCCCCTTATTCTGCTGAAGCCACTCAGGTTCTGCTGCTGCTGTGGTCAAAGTGACTAAAACCAACTTAGGATAAATATTGTTATAAGAACGTTTTGATATTATTGAGTCAGGTTTGTGCTTACCTTACTCATGTAGTTTATCATGCTAGTTTGTTGAAGCAGAGCTCAGTTCCACCAGCATATTTTGAACCAAAATCAAAGCTTTTAGGAAAACGTTTTTATCAATAGGTGTTAACTGACTTCCTGTGTCTGTGCCGTTTTCCTCCTTATCCACTCAGTGACAGTCTCTCCAAGCGCACTTTAGAGAGGCGGCCCAAGGACTTCAAGAAAGAGGGTAAAATCTGCAGGTTGAGGACTCAGGAGGACAGTGAGGATGACAACAACACGTGGAATGGGAACTCCACCCAGCAGATGTAGTGCAGTGACAGCAGCTTGTCCTTCCTTTTGCTCTCCTGCTGTGAATTGGTACCAGCTGAAGATTTCTGCTGCACTTAGAGCCGATTTGCTTTTCTCTTTGTCTTAGTGTGTTCCAGGCCACGTCCTCCATCTCACCTGCATGGTGACAATAATAACATTCAACAGAACCTCCTTTGGGCTTGAGCTGAATGTTTTTTGTTGATTATAATTGTCTTCAAACCCGGACTTGGATTACATCATCTTGCCAGACTGTAAAAAGCTACACCAGCATCCTCTTCTGGGGTTTTTGCTCATTGTCAGATGCATCACAATAAACAGAGTTAATTGTTATCAGATAGTCTTAAACTACTCTGACACCAAATGTTTTGAAAAGAGCAAATGAACAGGAAATCTGACCTGAAGGTGTAATCTGAGTCTGGCTTCACATCACAATATGGAGTGTCTGCGTTTTGGGGTTCGGGGGTGGGCTTCTTATAGAACAGCAGAATAGAGATTTGTTTTAAACCTGTATAAAGTATTTCATCAGTCAGCTTGCAGATGCAGGGGACAGTACATCTTGCACACTTTGGCTGTATGTGTTTCTAATAGTTGACAGTGGATGAATAGTCTAGTTCCCATTAACAGTAAAAATAAAGCGGCCTGTTTTTCAGCTGTGTGAATTGTGTTTTGCTTGGTTATTTTTTTATTTGATCCCTATTCTCCACACAAGGGGTGGCTGTGGCTCAGGGGCCAGTGGTTCAATCCCCAGCTTCTCCAATTCATATGTCAGTGTCCTTGGGCAAAGCACTGAACCCCTAGTTACTCCTGGTGAAGTCACTGGTGTGTGAATGTGTCAATGGGAAATGGTGTAAAGTGCTCGTAGAAAAGCGCTATACAAGTTTGACCATGACTTATCTAGGCCCACAGTTAGAGCTCTGCTATGGTGTCTTAAATAGTGGTTCTCTTATGCTCGTGCTGTGCCGCCTCAGAGCAGACCCATGAGACCTAAATAACCCATCCATCATTCAGGAAGCGGGGTCAAATGAAGCTGAACTTGTTGTACAGTTTATAAAGCAAGCCTATTTCTATGTATGTTCTGTTCCTAGTATGTTAATCTTCATTTGGATTCATGTTTTATAGCTCCACTGATGGAAATGTCTTCCACAGTCTAGTTTAATCAGTTTTCCTGTAAAGGCACTTCATACTTTCATCTGAAAACCTGCTGCAACTCATTTTTCTGTTGGAGCCCATGAAGTGAAGGTGTCCATCAGTAAATGACTTAACCCTGATTCTTTGTCACTGCTCCGCACCTGTGGAAGGTTAGGTTGAAGACTTGGACATCAGCTTATACAGAGTTAACTAATTCAGTCTCATGTCATATCAGCAAGAATCAAATCAGGCTAGCACTGCTCTTTGTTCAGTTATACTGCCATTAATTTGTCCATGTTCAGCTAACTACTTTCAACCAGCGCTGAGTTCAGCAGATGGAGAAGGCCTTTCAACAGCCCCTTTTACACAGAGATTGAGGCAAACTGATGGTTTTGGCAGCTTTTTTAATTTAAGCCCTACACCGATCAAACTGACAGTCCTGTGTTCATTCGTTACAGCCTCTGGGCTCCAGCACTAGAGGTAAGACTCAGACCAATGAAAGGTGTAAAGTCACTGTCCAAGGCCATCTACTGGATGTGCAAAGATGCTGGCGACTCCCTTTCCTGGTGTGCCAAAGAAAATCTGTATCAGAGAAGAGCAAAGAAAAATGTCCAAAGTGTCGCAGGAATTGCATTTGTTGTGATCCTGCACCTCTCTTCAACCCAGGCGTATGCTTTGAATCACCCAGAAACCATCTGGACTTGGTACAGCAACATCTCTGCAAATCCAGGATTCACAAAACTGTTATTTTCTGCAATACAGGCTTGCACACAGGACAGGAAGAAGGAGGGTAGGTAAACCATCTGTGCCTTGATGATGGATGAAATGGCAAACATGGAGCATGTGAACTACTCTGTGGGGAAGTTCCATGGATAGTTATACATGCCGGCTATGGCACTGTTGATGACAGTTTGCCACCAGATGCATTGGTTTTTTTGGGGTTGTTGCCATGGTTTAGGGTTAACCCTAACCCTAATCTCAGAAAATCCCTGTGTCATAGTTTTTCACAGATGTGCTGACTGGTGAAGAGCATGCTAACATCAACAACAAATGCCTCCAACAACTTCACAGTGTTGCCATTTGTACAGTCCCTCTGACACTTGATAGACCATTCTGCCATTTAGCCATTTAACTGGTGGAAAAACAAGGAAAAAAAACGTTGTATTCTTTGCACTAACAGCTGACACCACCATACAGCCTTCTCTAGATGAATCTCGAGGGTTTGGAGAAGCCAACACTAGGGATAATTGCCGTTTGCAAGAAGTCAGAGCATTGCTTTCAGGTACATGGCTTTGCACCAACCACTGTAAATGAAGTGCTAAGTTTCAGTGACTCTTAGTTTGTCATTCATCGACTGTTTATACTGCTTTCATCATCCCCAGTAAGTAGCTGTTTGAACAGTATTGTACAATACCTACTCAGCTGGTGAACAGAGTGGCGCATTTAGCAAATACAAAGCTAGATATTTCCCTCAGGACCTGCTAGAGACCAAACAGAGCTAAAAGAGGACGTGCAGGATTGGCTGTCATCTGTTAACTACAAACACTGATTACACAGCTTATATATCTTACTTTGCCTGTACAATATTTAAATAAGAACACATCAAGACGTTCTTGTCACTTTTTCCATCTTTGTTTATTCATATTACCTTCAACTCGCGTGGTTTTACAGACAAACATTTACAAGGTGTCATGTTAGAAATCAGTAGTATGAACCACATCATATGATGTGTAATGGTACAGAATGTACTGGATAGGCAGAGTATAAACAAAGTATATCTTATAAACTGTACTACTTGACCGTATATCTCATATTCAAGTATTACAAGCAATGAGCAAAAATGTGCATATGTTTTGGAGAAAACAATTAGTAGATAAGACAGTAAATGAGTTACTCCTCAGTAAGAAAGCAGGAAAATTACCACTAATATTGGTAAACAACTTTGTGAATATGGACATTTGGAAATTTGCACTGGTTAACATTGCATTAGCATTACAATTTCTTATCTGCTTAGAAGCAGCCATAAGGTGTAAGGTGGGTCTGCAGCAGGACCGCTGTGTCGCAGTGGTGGCCCTCACTCGCCAGTGAAGGTGGGGTTGGCCACAGTGGTGGTGGCATTCTGGAACAGTGGGTTGTCGGCCTGGGAATAGAAGAAGCCCATTTATAAGTTTGTTTTTATTTATGATGATTTAATTTAGAGAAGTCTTGATCCATTACTACCGGTAACGGGCGTATTTCACATGCTCGGTATTGGCCAGAAGCCAGTCTGATTCTGATCCTTAGTTAGAATTACAGTCCTGCATTTGAGGTGACTCAGTCGTGTTTTTGAGACGCGCATGTCATGCAACAGATAAGCTGCTATATTAATCCATCTAACTGTCTACACCACCTGCATATCTGCTGCCGTATGACTCGTGTTTTATAAGGTGGCTGCCACTTGAAGCCTATTTAGTCTATTTTTAAGAGCTAAGCCAGTAAAATGCTCCACAGAATCCACCAAAGCAATGAGTGCATTTACATGGAATTAAGCATCCTGGTTATTAGGACTATCCTGGTTTTGATTATATTCGGCATATGGTGTTTATGTGGAACAGAGAGAAATCTGGTTATGCATATCCCTGTGTACATGACTAAACTATTCTGGGTACCGGTTACTATGCATCCTATCTGCCCAGAATACATTATGTTTACCAACATGAACAGGCACTTTTGGAATCATTTCTGTGAATGTTAGACTATATTTCTATCATTTGACTGTGACTTTTTAAAAATACAGCCATCTTCTTTCTTTCCTTCTCTCTCTCCTCTATCCACTCACCCCAACCGGTCAAGGCAGAAGGCCGCCCACCAAGAGCCGGGGTCTGTCGGAGGTTTCTTCCGTTAAAGGGAGTTTTTCATCCCCACTGTCGCCAAGTGCCTGCTCAGGGGGATTTGTTGGGTTTTTCCTCTATAATAATAACAGTAAGGTCTAGACCTGACTTTGTAAAATGTCCTGAGACGACTTTTGTTGTGATTTGGTGCTATACACATACATACAATTGAATCGAATTGAATCTTCTATATTTAATTATATAAATGTATATGGTGTATTCATTTGTTTTTTTACTAACAAAAAAGACTGAGGAAATAGCCTACACGCTTTAAGGTTAAAAGCCGTTAACTTAATAGGCCTACTACCTGGAAATGATATAGCGCCAGTTGGATATGGAAGCAGATCACCACCATAATGTTTGTGGGTGAATGTGATCCTTGATTTACTGGATTTAGTGACCAAATGGACCCACACATGACTCAAATGACAGTGATAGTGGACCAAAACTTTCATTTGAAAATAATAATGTTCCCCCGATATAAAGCACATTACTACAGCGTATAATTAATGTATTATTTTTTGTTGCCAGCTACTTGTCTATACACAGATGTAAAGCCTTCACTTGACAAGTGGCGCTGATATCGGCATTTCACATTCCACTGTCTATATCTACAAACCCTGACTGTCAGAAAACCTACAACACATCAGTATAATGTCGCCTTTGCGGCTCAGTGTCATAAAACCGTGACCTCACACTTGTTCTTGCGAGTGGGAATTCTCGATGAAAGTGAGAGTAGAATGCTTCATAAATAAGTTTTAAGTCCTACTCTAAGGTAGGAGTTCTTACTCCTAAGTTAACTTTCAGTGCAATTCCTAGGAGTGATTCTTAGATGCTTGATAAATATGAAGCATAAAAAACCGTGAGGGTTCCAGGGGTGATGCATGTCTTATGCACCAATGTCAAATTCAGTGTGGATTGACACTTTTGATAGGATATAGTAATATCAGCAACGTGAGACGCAAAACATGCTCAGTGTGGATTACTTTCAGCAAGGAAAAAGTCCCGTTCCTAAAAATGAGTGTGACATCGCTGTCTTAGAACAGTCACCTCTAATCCACATAGAAAGCCTTCTGGAAGCATTTTCTGTGCATGTCTCACACCCTGTCTCATGCTGCAGATGTGTCAATCCACATTGTATCCAAGACATGCGCATCTCCCCTGGAGCAGTAATAACCTTTTTAAACAGCATCTCACCTCTGCCCATTTAGACTTCTTCTTTTCATTTTCAAATTTCCGGAACTCTTTTAGATCCTTCATGTATAAGAGTAATTTGATGAGCATCAGCAGCAGGATGCCGATGAGCGCCACGGACGCTATGGAGCCTCCGATGATAGCTACAACACTGGGAGGTTCTGGACAGTCTGGAAGAAGAGTTATAAATTATAGATGCTTTTACACACATTCAAAATGTCTGGAAGTGTACTGTATATCAGCTGACCTTTCTGGGTTCTAGGGATGGTTATGTGGGTTGGTCTGTTTGTCTGTTAGTCCACCAATTTAGTCCAGACTATTTGATAAATTGCTATGACGTGGTTCAGACATTCATGTTTCCCTCCAGATCGAGTGTAATAACTTGAATTGCTGACTTTTCATCATCAGCCAATATGTTAACATGCTTATATGTCCAATACTTAGGTTTAAGCAAAACTCTGATGAGTCTTCTTAGTCAGTCAGCAGCTTACCTCTCTGTTTCAGAATTTCAGCCTTGTAGTTGTCCTCTCCGACCAGCTGGTCCAGCATAAATGTGATCCAGCAGCCTTCAGAGTCCTTCTGGTGACACTGCTTGCTTGATATGGTGAGCTGCTCTACTAGGCCATGATAAATGCTCTTGCTGCAAGTTTCACTGCAGTTTTTTTTAAAAGGACCTGAGTCGAAGCCAAGGCATTCAATGCAGTTCCTGGAAACAAGATAAACTGTAACAGTTAATATTCCAGGGTCAGGTATTAAGATCTGACCATTGGTCAGTAGCAGAGCAGCTATATAAATTTGTGACCAAATATTGGAATGTTTTTATTTATTTTTCTTTGCTGTAACTTGGTGAAATAAACCTTTAATAATCATTTGAAAACAAAAGTTGAAGGAAGTTTGGACTCCTTACAATTTGGTCTGGCATGGGTCAGGGCAGCCAAGGCATTCCTTGCATTTCGGTCGCTGGTATCCATCTTTACACTCACAGCGGTTACACTTGCAGGTCCCTCTGCCGTAGCACACAGTGCTGTTAGCGGTACGACACTCCTCCTCAGACACCTTGCACTGACAGGCTGAGCCCTCGTAGCCTGCATTGCATTCGCATCTGCCACAGTTGCACTTACCATTTCCTGCAAGTTGTGAGGAACAGAGAGTTAGAGCACTGATAATTACACATTTGTGCATGCATGTTACTCAACATATACTGCATTCTCTTTGAATAACTTCAAATCTTGAAATGAAACTAAGCCCATAAGCAGTGGGGACAGTAGATGTGACCAGCAGCGGCCTAAAAAAATAAAACCAATGGCAGAAATCTTTGAAGTGGAACTAAAAAGAGATTTATAGTTAAAGGATCCATATGTAGCTACATATGTATCAGGGCTACAGCAGCTACAGAGACAGAGAAAATGCTGAAATTGAAGACAACACTAATCAGATTGTAGAAAGACCCAGTAACTGGCTGCTCTTCACTAACATGTCTAAGAAAGACCGCTCCACTACAGACTCGCTCAGCTAGATCACTGCTCCGTCACAGTAACTGAAACGTAACCATGGTGAGGTGTAACAGTTGTGTATAAATACCAGGCGGAGACTGCACAGCCAAATGGACTCACTAGGGCAGGTTGGCAGGAAAATGTAATGGTGAAATAAGATTTACAAAATAGTTTGTGCAAACAAAGCTAAACAGGGGAAACCTCAGGTAGCATCACTATTCAATTGCAGGTCAAAAATAAACACAAATGGAATCTTTCCATCTTCATCAGGCATTGTCCAGTAGACAGAACAACATACTGTAACTGCAGCACATTACAGACTGATCTAAAGAGATACAGCTGTCCAGTGTTGTGAAGTAAACAAGGTCAAAGTGCTGCCTGTCAGACTCTGCAACAGGCGCCAGACGCACTCATGCGCTGGAGAAGTGGCAGAGAAGGAGGCTGAGAGTCTATCACCAATCTCCATTCGCCAAAAAAGTGATTCAAGTCAGCAGCGAAGAATTTCTTTATACCAGCAATGAATACCTCCGAGAACACCATCCCTCCCTGTGGTTCAGAGTAGGCTCTGTGTCTCCTGTATTACTTTAGTGAGAGAGGAAGTACAGAAAAGACCATTGTGGCTGTTTTACAAACAGGCCAGTCGATTAATGGAGAAAATAGCAGGTTGATCCCTAATGAAAATATAATATATGCCTGTAATAGTATAACGGTGCCCTGTGACCGGCGACCTGTACAGGGTGGACTCCTCCTCTCACCCAGTGTCAGCTGGGATTGGCTCCAGGCCCCCGCGGCCCTATTCAAGAATAAGTGCTGTAGATAATGGTAGTATATATAGCCTAGTATATATAGTATAACATTTTTCTGCATTGAGTAGCATACTTCTACTTTCAATACTTTAAGTACTTTTTCATGATAATACATTTACCTAACATTTTCAATGCAGGATTTTTATCCTGACTGTGATACTGGTAATTCCTTTTCTACTGGTGCTCACATAGAATCACATACAAACTGATATGGTTTAGTGGCAGAACATGTTATATTAGTTATGGTTTTCCTTTTATCACGTTTCTAATTCCTTTTCTTCTTAGGGTCAATCTAGTGCTGCAGTCCAGCTGTCTACACTGCCTGTCTGCAGGCTGGACTGACATGTCATTCATGCTTTACATGCACAGCCATGGCCTGAAGCCTGTTTTTCTGTTAGTATCCACCATCTGTAGTTCTAGAATGAGTTTTATAGCTGTTATTCTTTTATTCATATCAATAATTTAAGTTAATAAACGTAATATTTTGAAACCAGGACGTGATCCAGTATTTGGATCAAGAGGCTGCAGAAAGATACAGTGAGCCAGATTAATCTCAGTTTCAATATGTCATATATTTAACTCACCTGTTATGTTCATTTGTCAGGAACAGCAGTGATGTTCCTGGGTTAATTTTACCATTACTAACCATTTCAATCACTATTTAGTGCAGTGGTGTTCTTCATCTCTCACAGATTATGGTTCAATGAGGATAATGCACTCGTTTTTCATAAAAAGTGCATGTTAAAAGTTTTTTTAATGTACATTGGAAAGACCTACATATAAAATACATTATTTTTTCAGGCGATTGATTTTTTTAAAGTTTATTTCACATTTTGAAATCTTTTCTTTATATGAAGTTGTTGATAAATTAGCATGAGACACCTCTTCTGTTCTGCAACATAACAGGAGGGTTAATGAACATTTACTGTAGATAATAAGTATTGGATCAGTATCGGGGCCAAAAAACTGGATTGGGACACCTTTAATGAAAAAGTCTTTATAAAGCAGATGAACAGAAAATGACTGGAACCCTACCTCCACACAGTTTATTCTGGAACTTCTCACAGTGTTCATCGTCACACTCGCAGAAGTCGCCGTGGTAACTGCTTCCACCCTCTGTGTTATAGCACTGACACCTGCCACACACACAGTCCCCTCGACCCTCACACACAGTGCCATTCTGCCTCTGACAGGACGCTCGCAGCGAGCGCTCGTCTTTATCACCAATGGAGCACTGGCAGAACTGACCGATGAAGCCTTCATGGCATCTGAAAAAGAACCAGTTAGAGTGACTGTTGATTCTGTGTTTTGATTCGTGCACAGGTTAAACAGTCATGGTTTACTTTCAAGGTGTTGAAAAAATATAATTTTAATCAGTTTCTCAGATAACACAGTTTCTTTTCAGTTAAGTAAAGATGACCACAGGAAATGATGTTGTCATGCTCAACTCTCTCCAACCACCTAAAACAGGCAATTAAATGCAAACTAAACAAAATGATGGTGAAGCACCAGCACCGGAGGGTTACAAAGTAAAATGACAAAGGAAATTCCTTCAAAGGTCTGAAAAATGTTCATCTTAAAGCAGTCATGTAAAGTGATAGTGAAATTCAATTACCATAAAATTCTTTTGGGGCTTAGTAGCTGAATGATGATAATACTTTAGTTATTTTTTAACAGGCCTACATTTTCCCTTTTGGACAAGAAGGTTTGGCTGTGGGCAAGTAAATGATTTCAGCTATTTGCCCAACGTAGCTGCAATGGCTGAAAAAGCTTAATGGCAAGCCCTGCACTGGAGCAGTAAACACTTCAGGTAGTCATGGTGACAGTAGGAGAAATCCTGAAGCCGACCCCCTCTATACCTGGATGGCCATTAGCCGACTGCAGGGCTAAGCCAGATAGGAAACAACAAACCCACACATGTAGGTAGAGGAACTAGTGACATGGGGGGGGGAGACCTAGATCTGATATTACTTCAGCTGACCTGGGTAAACAGACTTTATCCATCCCTACTCAGCTGAGGATTACTCTGGTACATGTACATTTTATGCAGTCAAAAGAATTTCTAATGCACACCATCATGGTTCTTGCGGGAGACCAGACAGGCACTCCTGTGTACATGGAGCGTGGAGGGAGGTAAGATAAACGTGATTTAGATATACTATCTATTCTGTGATTAGTGAAAACATGTTAAGTCAGTTTTTGTCTAGGTAGCTTACCTGCAAATACCACAGGTGATGGTTCCCTTTTTTTTACAGTGTGGGTGGTTGATATTACTGGGATCTTGACACTGACACACACAATTTGTAGACAAGGCCACTGTCAGCGTATCTTTAATTCCCAGTGGTCTGATAATGAAAGATTTGTTCTCCATACATGAGTCTGCTGTCACGGTGACGTTAAAAGAAATCTGGAGAGGGCAGTTGGGGTTGAGGAGTCAAACAGAAATGGGATACATTTTTAGCATTTAATAAATCTAAACATTTTCTTCCAAAACCATCCATTAGCTACAGTGCTTATCTTGGAGATTTCAACATCTCTGTCCCTTGTTTTAGACACAATCTCCTGCATCTCTTCTTGTTTCAAATCATGCTGTTATGCTAGCTTCTCCCACATGCATGGTTTTCAGTTGAGTGTAAGTTGAATAGTGATTTCTCCAGGTCACCTCCTTTTAGAGCTACTCTGGGCATGTCCAGCCAAGAGAAAATTCTGAGGGAAAGACCTTAAACATGGGAGAAGGCTTTCATATATATTTTGATCTGGGGATGATGAGATTAGATTTTTATTATTTTGCCAAACAGCAATGTGTTGTACAGCCAGAAGTGCGCACAGCAAAACAGACATGCCGATCTCAGAATTTGGAGAATGGGACTAGAGAGAAGGATACAAAGGCTACCTTAAATGGTTTTGTTAGGTATTTTTAGTCAGATAGATATTGGATAGATACTTTATGTATTAGAAATGTTTAGTGGAGATAGGATGTCTAGTTAGACTGTTAAATGCTTAGTCATGCTTATGAGTTTCTACAGGGTACATCTGGTCAAGGATAACTAGAGAGAAGAGTTGATGACTGTCAGCAGACAGGGTGTTAATATTATTATAATGACGTGTATAACTGTAGCCTTAGCCATAATAGGTTCTTATGTTTAAGCCACGACATGTTACTAGAGGTCGTGAGAATGTTTTTAGCTACACACCACTTAACCAACAGACACACACAATTTGCTTCATGTTTTGACTACTGCTATGACCAGCTGTAAAGCTGGTAACAGAGACGTCTCGGTTGACGTTTCTGTGTAGTATGGGGCTAGCCCAACCAA